GGCTGCAGCCACGGGGGCTGTGGGAGCCCACGGAGGCCCCTCGGCATGGGCTGCAGCCATGGGGGCTGAGGGGAGCCCACGGACGCCCCTCGGTGCAGGCCGCAGCCATAGGGACTGCAGAGAGCCCTTGGACACCCCTTGGCGTGGGCTGTAGCCACGGGGGGCTGCAGGGAGCCCACGGACAGCCCTCAATGTGGACTGCAGCCACAGGGACTGCGGGGAGGCCACAGACGCCCCTCGGAGCGGGCTGCAGCCACRRGGGCTGCAGGGAGCCCATGGCAAAAGCGGCCACCGCGGCCGAGCACCCAGGCTGACTCTCCTACGCACGCCAGGAGAACAGATGGCACAAAGCTCTCACAAAGCTCTCTGTACCTTCAAGTCCTGCTCCTCCTCCTCTGCTTTGGGTGCTCCTTGCACTTTCACTTTCTCCTGGGGCTCCTCAGGCTCTGCCTCTTTCTCTGGGATCTCCTCCGCAGCTTCTGTGCTCACTGCTGCTGCTGTGAAAGGAGAAACACAAAGTGAGCCCTTCTCCCTGCTACTTGTGCGGGGCTGAGCAGGAAGCTGAGTTTAAAGGAGAGAGGCTCCCCCCATGCACATGTGCTGCAGACCACCAGGCTGCTCCTTAGAGGACCTGTCGGAACCTACCGACACTACAACAAACGGACAGGAAGGAGGAGCAGATCGGAGCAAGGAAGTGAAAAGCAGCAGGTAAGCTCCCAGGAAGACAATTACTGAACTCCTGCAGTCAAGTGATTTTCCAGAAAAATAAACAAAAGCACTATAACATTTGAGAACTGTCAGCTCAGAGCACTGAATCAGAGACCAGACAGCTCCAAAAAACGCTCAGATATTAAAGTTTCCTCAGAGTCACAGCTCGAGGGGAAGCCGATTATCCTCCCAAGTGACAAAGTCCTGGGAGGGAAGCAGAGGAAGAAGAAAATACAGACCAGAAGAAAGCCCCAACCCCCATGTTCCTGGCGTGCTGCATGTTTCCAGGGCACAGCAGCCCTCAATTGCCATGAGCAGTGGGCGCACACCCAAATTCACACCCATCCTTTAAAAAAACAGCCCGTGGGTGTCAGCAGCARCCTGGCCTGGACTGGGCACCTGGTGCCACGTGTCCCCCCAGGAGAAGCAGGTGTCTGATTGAGCTCTCCGCACCATGAGGTGGGTGCCAGGCAGGCGACTGGGGCCGAGCAGGGCAGGGTGCATCTGGGACACGCAGGGTGCCCTCAGCGCAGCACGCAGGGACAGATTGCTACAGGCAGCGGCTGCAACAGCTGGCACAGCAGCGGCAGCGCCCAGCGGGTCATCACCACTGCCCAAGCCACCGGGACCGCAGAGCTGCACGCTGCTGGACAACGTCAGCCTGCTGCTTTTAAGACCCGCATGCTGCTGTAGGGGCAGCTACTGCTCAATGAAGTGTCAAAGTCRCCCTGCAGCCAAGGATGACAATTCTTCCACGAATGGGATCCTGCTCACAGTGCGGCTGCCACCAAGAGGTGGGTGCCTCTCAAAGACCCCATCTGCTGGCTGAAACTCGAGGGCCGTTAGCAGGCAGCTCAGCRAGACTAGACCCCGCAAGAGGAAGGCAGCAGCTCTGGAGGCACCATGGCCAGGCTCCAGAGCTTCAGGGGGAAGCGGAAGGCAGCAAGGTGCAGATCATGGCTCTGACCTCTGCCTGAGGGGAGGGCGCTCTCCCAGTTTCCCTCAGTCCCTGGGAGAACATGGCAGAGCATCAAGGCCTCCCCAGCAGCGCCCTGCACTGGGTGGCTGGTCCTGCATGCTTGGCTGGAGCAGTGGGGGTAGCCACCGTATGGGATGTAGCCCTGCGCTACCCCTGGGCTGCCACCTCCCAGCCTCCCTATGCACAGCGGGAGGCTCCGCGCGTCCCACACCAGCTGCAGCCTCAGGTAGCAGCGGGTGGAAGGCGGCCGGCCGGAGCGGTGCAGGCTGCCGACTCCCAAGGGCCGGGTCCTCCCACTGGAGGCAACTCTTCAAATTACCTGGTGATTCTGCAGCTTCTGGACTCTCTCGGCCCGTTTTGCTGGCGCCCCGGCTAGCAGGCTCCGGGCTGGCGGTTCCCACAAACAGTTTCCATTTCCCTCGCTTGGAGGCCAGGCGGCGGGTGGCGTCCTGGGAGGCTGACTGGCTCCCGTCGGAGAGCGGGCTGGAGCCCGACACGCTGCCCTCACCCTCCTCCAAGGCCCGCAGCTCCGCCTGCAATGAGACAAGAGCAGTGCTACAGGCATCTGGCCCGAGCAAAAGAGCAGCCTCGCGAAGGCAGCTGAGACGCATCCAGAAGGACGGTTGGGGGCTCCCCTCATCTGCTCTTCGCCAGTCCCCGCCACAACCTTCCTGGGGGCACAAGAGTCGCCCCATTACCTTTTTTCTCTCCAGCACCATCTCCAGCTCGAGGGTGTCTTGCTCCTCCTCTTCCTCACCGCTCTCCCCCGACTGCACCACGCTGCACACCTCCTCCTGTGGCGCGTCCTCCAGGGGCTCCCTGCAAGGCTCTGGCTCGTCGGGGGTGGCCACCGCTTCTTCTGCTTTGGCCTCCTCCTCGGGGGGCGGCTCGAGCTCCTCTTTGCAGATGACCTTCCTCCGCCAGCGCTCCTCCTCCTCCTTCACCACGTCGGGGAGCAGCGGCGCCAGCAGGGCCACGGCCACCCCTTTCTTCTCCTCCTCGCTGCTGGAGAGGGCTTGCACGCCTTCGTTCACCTCCTGCGGGGCAAGAAGAGGCTGCATGGGCCGGCGGCGCCTGCACCCAGGAGCAAAAGGCTCGGGAAAGAGCCTGTGCAGCCCCGTAGCCACAGGGGACCAAAAAGAGCCCGTGTGCGGGCCCAGGGCCACGAGCGCCCACTGCTGGCACTGCCCACTGACCTTCTTCACCTCTCGTTTGGCCACACTACCCCCACGGCTTGCACTGCCCCCCTTCTCCTGAGGGAAGGGCTCTGGCGTCGCTGGAAAGCTCCCGTTGGTGCCAGGCACGGTGCCGCTAAGGAGGGGGAGAGGGAATGAATGGCGGGTGCAAGAACAATGGGAAACTCCCCATCACTGCCCGGGCTCTCACCTGGGCTGGTAGTGCTGCAGGCCTTGCACCTGCGTCGCGAGGTACTGCGGCAGCTCCCACGTCACCTCGTTGCTGCGGGTGTTCCAGTAATAGTAGCAGCCAGTGTTCTCGTCCCACACCTCCTGCCAGTCACCCATCTCCACACCCACTGACAGGAGACAGGGAAGGGTCGTGAGCAGCGGCAGCGCCGACGGCAGCTCTCCGGGTACCACTCGGCCTGGCGGCCGCACTCACCTCCTGCCAGCGAGCACTGGGTGTCATAGTGCCAGGCGGGAGCCTGCGAGGAGGCCGAGCCATTGGCGGCCTCCCTGGGCTCAGGGCGCGGCGGCGTTGGGGGTGGCACACGGGCTGGCGGCTCCGCAGGCTGCGGCGGTGCCGTGATGGCGTCGATCTCCTTGGGGAACACAGACACTGCAACGTTAAAGAGAGATCCCCCCGAGGGGAACGCGAGCCGCCACACCACCAAAGGGCCACCCGCAGGCAGGGAAGGCCAACCACGCCAGCCAGACCCTCGCACTACCTATGACCCGCTTCCTTCCTCCCCCAGGCGCAGCTGCTGCCTTGCACAGGAAGCCCCGCGGGGCCGCACTCACYGCCAGAAAGGTAGCCAGCGTGCTGTCGATGTCGGCCGAGGCGGCGCCGTTGGCGTCCGCACTGCGCGCCACTCTCTCAGCGCCGTCACCCTCCTCGTCATCGCTGTCCGCATAGGCGCCCAGCAGGCACAGACCACCTGGCGGAGGGAGGTCGGCATTGGGGAGGGTGGGGGGAAGGAGGCACCACAACCCCCTCCCGCGACACCCAAACGACCCAAGAGGGGAAAGACCCCTCAACCTCCCTCTGCCCCAAAGGGTGATGTTGCTGAATGCACCGGGGACGGGAGGCAGCGGCTGCCTCCTGCCAATGGGGCACCCCAGGGCCGCCAAGAGCCCCCTTCAACCCACAGAGGGGCTTGTGGGGCACGAACTCTGCACCCTCGCCCAACCCCCACCAAAAAAAATCAGTTTAGGAATAAAAAAATGCAGCCAAAAAAAGGGAGGTGGCTGTTGGTGGTGGAACGTGCATGATCTCTTAAAGGGGGCAACTGCAACCCCCCCCCCCCCCAAAGTGTGCGTGTGGGGGGGGACTTGGGGAAGGGGGTCAAACGCCTCCCCTCAGGAAACAATTAAGAGAAAGGAAAAAGCAAAATAAAACAAAGCAAAATAAAACAAAACAAAATAAAACAAAGCAAGGAAAATAAAACAAAACAAAGCAAAGCTCATCCTTCGCTTAATGAAAGCGGAAGCCCCCTCCCCCCCCGCGGTTAACGGCCGAGCCGACAGGGAGGGGAAAGCGCCGCCCCCAACATGGAGGAAGCGGGAGGCGGGGGAGCCACCAAGCCGCGGGCCCCGTTACCTGTGGGCTTGAGGGCGGCGGGCGACGGGTTGGGGGCGCTGCGGGGCGGCTCCGCCGGCGCCTCGGGCTCGTCTGCGAGGAGGGAAGCGGCCGTTAACGGGCGCCGCGAGGCCGCGCCCGCCGCCAACAAAGCGCACCCCCCCCCTTCCCCCGCCCCACCGCGGCCGTACCCGCCTCGGAGCCCGACTCGGCACCCTCCGCCGGTGGCGGCGCGGCC